AGCACACATTCAGGTGTTTGAGCAGCACTTGGGGCCTTTGCTACACAGCTCATCTCCCACTAGAGGCCAATGGGCAGAGTTCAGTAAGAAACCAAAACAGCTGTCAGTGGGCTTGTTGTTTAGGGATGCCATAGCAGGCATCAAGCCCACCTTCCTCAACCCCAAGGTTCCCTTTCTCCCCAGAAAAGGGCCTAGGAACTGACAAAAGCACATGTTCCAATGATCTCCAACCGTCCAGCAGCAGTTTCTGTTCTTACCAGGCTCCAAAGCAGGTGAACCTCTTTCCTCGAGGTCTCTTGGCGCTGTCTGCAGACTTTCACCTGCTCTGGAGGGCATGAGTCTGCTTTGTTCCTCAGATGGACTGGAACCAAGCGCCTCTCCAGGGCGCTTTTGCTGACGCTGAGAGAGAACAAAGCCTTAGCATTTTCTGTGGCACGGACATGAACATGGCACTTGCTTTTTGCCACACCAATGACAGCACACAAGGATACACAACACACTCCTGCAAAGGCTGGAATATGCAAAAAAGATTCTATGGGCCATTCCCACCTAAGTGCATCTCCTCAGAAAAAAGACATCACCCCTGATCTCTGACAAGCTGCCTTGCCAAGCAAGAGCCTGTCCCAATGGCTTGCAAATGAGGAGACCAGTTCCCAATTCTAGCAGGCTGCAGCTCACACTGTAAGCATTTCTGAACTATTACTGTGAACACCCATAGAGATTTAAGACCTTCAGTATTCCAGAACGTCGAGTTCCATGAAGTTTTGAAAGGTTTCCACAGCTGTACATTTGTCTCAATAGTGTGGATGCTGAATGCAAGAAGCAAGCAGGGAGCACAGTGTCTGTGTGAAACTAAGTCACCCAAGGTTCTCACTGTGGCCTGAGAAAGCATAAGGAGGAATCCAAGCAGTCCCTGCAGAAGGACAACAACGTTCTGCAGGTGCTATTTAGGATCCTTGTTGTTTACTTGCAAGAAATTTCAAGTGGTGGTGTTCCAATTGTCCAGTGACGGTGATGTGTTGCTTTAATGACCCATTAGAGTTTTACCTCTCAGACCTGTCTATAAAAGAAGAAGTGGAATAATAAAACTTGCTCTCTTGGACAACCCATGTGAGAGTCTGTGTCATAGTGCCTCGCCATTCCTAAAAGTGTGTGACAACAAACTCTTGAAATCCTTTCTAGAAGTATTTACCCCGTCAAATGTTTCAGACACAATATCTATGTGTTTGTGAGTGTGTTTGGGGTAGACTGGGAACTGTGTCGAGAGTAGTAAATCAGAGCCATCTTTCAACCTTGGAGGCCAGGGGATTCAGTAAGATTCCAGAGGGCAAGAAAATTAATATGGATGCAGCACGGAGAGGAGTGTGCCAGTCACTACTTACCAGAGCAGACTCATCGTCACTGACAGTGACAACATCAATCTCAGAAGAGTCTTCTGAGCCTTCGCCATAAACTGAAAAAAAGAGAACATTAGAATGAAGGTGAGAGATTGCAGAGGAATGAAATGGGCTTCCTCTGTTAAATAGACTGTGCTTGATTTCGATGTGCCCTACGCTTCAGGAATGTGTCCACAATTTCACTCAAGCTTGGCCTTCAATATCCAGAGGGAGCACTGCCAGCCCTGTCCTCGGAGGGGCAAAACAAGGGGATGAGCACCTGAGCTCCTCACAGGTTCTGTTGGATGACAACATCTTACGAGATGTTCACCCCAACAGATCATTCCTCTCACAGAGGGGCATGTTTAGCACAGAGGAGAAAAAAACAACCAAGACTAGAGGGGATGCTAATTTTACTATACCATGCTGTACATGTTCCCCTGAAGAATGGGCCACAGCTACCGACTACTATCTTTTGTTCATGTTTGTCTAGCTTGGGAGATCCCAAACTCAGCCTGCCACCTCCACTGTGGCAGCTGCAGTCACTGCCAGCTCGTCAGAGCACACATTCAGGTGTTTGAGCAGCACCTGGGGCCTTTGCTACACAGCTCATCTCCCACTAGAGGCCAATGGGCAGAGTTCAGTAAGAAACCAAAACAGCTGTCAGTGGGCTTGTTGTTTAGGGATGCCATAGCAGGCATCAAGCCCACCTTCCTCAACCCCAAGGTTCCCTTTCTCCCCAGGAAAGGGCCTAGGAACTGACAAAAGCACATGTTCCAATGATCTCCAACCGTCCAGCAGCAGTTTCTGTTCTTACCAGGCTCCAAAGCAGGTGAACCTCTTTCCTCGAGGTCTCTTGGCGCTGTCTGCAGACTTTCACCTGCTCTGGAGGTCAGCAGCCTGCTCTGTTTCTCTGCTGGACCTGAATGAAGCGCCTCTCCAGGGCGCTTTTGCTGAGAGAGAACAAATCCTTAGCATTTCTGTGGCACAAACAGGAACATGGCACTTGCTTTTTGCCACACCAATGACAGCACACAAGGATACACAACACACTCCTGCAAAGGCTGCAATATGCATCCAATGGTGCTATGGGCCATTCCCGCCTAAGTGCATCTCCTCAGAAAAAAGACATCACCCCTGATCTCTGACAAGCTGCCTTGCCAAGCAAGAGCCTGTCCCAATGGCTTGCAAATGAGGAGACCAGTTCCCAATTCTAGCAGGCTGCAGCTCACACTGTAAGCATTTCTGAACTATTACTGTGAACACCCATAGAGATTTAAGACCTTCAGTATTCCAGAACATCGAGTTCCATGAAGTTTTGAAAGGTTTCCACAGCTGTGCATTTGTCTCAATAGTGTGGATGCTGAATGCAAGAAGGAAGCAGGGAGCACAGTGTCTGAGTGAAACTAAGTCACCCAAGGTTCTCACTGTGGCCTGAGAAAGCATAAGGAGGAATCCAGGCAGTCCCTGCAGAAGGACAACAATGTTCTGCAGGTGCTATTTAGGATCCTTGTTGTTTACTTTCCAATTGTCCAGTGACGGTGATGTGTTGCTTTAATGACCCATTAGAGTTTTACCTCTCAGACCTGTCTATAAAAGAAGAAGTGGAATAATAAAACTTGCTCTCTTGGACAACCCATAAGAGAGTCTGTGTCATAGTGCCTCGCCTTTCCTAAAAGTGTGCGACAACAAACTCTTGAAATCCTTTCTAGAAGTATTTACCCCGTCAAATGTTTCAAGATTCATATTCATACCTATGTGTTTGTGTGTTTTGGGTAGACTGGGAACTGTGTCGAAAGTAGTAAATCAGAGCCATCTTTCAACCTTGGAGGCCAGGGGACTTAGTAAGAGTCCAGAGGGCAAGAAAATTAATATGGATGCAGCACGGAGAGGAGTGTGCCAGTCACTACTTACCAGAGCAGACTCATCGTCACTGACAGTGACAACATCAATCTCAGAAGAGTCTTCTGAGCTTCAGAAGAGTCTTCTGAGCTATATGTGACTTCGCCATAAACTGAAAAAAAGAGAACATTAGAATGAAGGTGAGAGATTGCAGAGGAATGAAATGGGCTGCCACTGTTGAATAGGCTGTGCTTGATTTCGATGTGCCCTATGCTTCAGGAATGTGTCCACAATTTCACTCAAGCTTGGCCTTCAATATCCAGAGGGAGCATTGCCAGCCCTGTCCTCTGAGGGACAAAACAAGGGGAAGAGCACCTGAGCTCCTCACAGGTTCTGTTGGATGACAACATCTTACGAGATGTTCACCCCAACAGATCATTCCTCTCACAGAGGGGCATGTTTAGCACAGAGGAGAAAAAAACAACCAAGACTAGAGGGGATGCTAATTTTACTGTACCATGCTCTACATGCTCCCCTGAAGAATGGGCCACAGCTACCGACTACTATCTTTTGTTCATGTTTGTCTAGCTTGGGAGATCCCAAACTCAGCCTGCCACCTCCACTGTGGCAGCTGCAGTCACTGCCAGCTCGTCAGAGCACACATTCAGGTGTTTGAGCAGCACTTGGGGCCTTTGCTACACAGCTCATCTCCCACTAGAGGCCAATGGGCAGAGTTCAGTAAGAAACCAAAACAGCTGTCAGTGGGCTTGTTGTTTAGGGATGCCATAGCAGGCATCAAGCCCACCTTCCTCAACCCCAAGGTTCCCTTTCTCCCCAGAAAAGGGCCTAGGAACTGACAAAAGCACATGTTCCAATGATCTCCAACCGTCCAGCAGCAGTTTCTGTTCTTACCAGGCTCCAAAGCAGGTGAACCTCTTTCCTCGAGGTCTCTTGGCGCTGTCTGCAGACTTTCACCTGCTCTGGAGGGCATGAGTCTGCTTTGTTCCTCAGATGGACTGGAACCAAGCGCCTCTCCAGGGCGCTTTTGCTGACGCTGAGAGAGAACAAAGCCTTAGCATTTTCTGTGGCACGGACATGAACATGGCACTTGCTTTTTGCCACACCAATGACAGCACACAAGGATACACAACACACTCCTGCAAAGGCTGGAACATGCAAAAAAGATTCTATGGGCCATTCCCACCTAAGTGCATCTCCTCAGAAAAAAGACATCACCCCTGATCTCTGACAAGCTGCCTTGCCAAGCAAGAGCCTGTCCCAATGGCTTGCAAATGAGGAGACCAGTTCCCAATTCTAGCAGGCTGCAGCTCACACTGTAAGCATTTCTGAACTATTACTGTGAACACCCATAGAGATTTAAGACCTTCAGTATTCCAGAACATCGAGTTCCATGAAGTTTTGAAAGGTTTCCACAGCTGTGCATTTGTCTCAATAGTGTGGATGCTGAATGCAAGAAGGAAGCAGGGAGCACAGTGTCTGAGTGAAACTAAGTCACCCAAGGTTCTCACTGTGGCCTGAGAAAGCATAAGGAGGAATCCAAGCAGTCCCTGCAGAAGGACAACAATGTTCTGCAGGTGCTATTTAGGATCCTTGTTGTTTACTTGCAAGAAATTTCAAGTGGTGGTGTTCCAATTGTCCAGTGACGGTGATGTGTTGCTTTAATGACCCATTAGAGTTTTACCTCTCAGACCTGTCTATAAAAGAAGAAGTGGAATAATAAAACTTGCTCTCTTGGACAACGCATAAGAGAGTCTGTGTCATAGTGCCTCGCCTTTCCTAAAAGTGTGCGACAACAAACTCTTGAAATCCTTTCTAGAAGTATTTACCCCGTCTAATGTTTCAAGATTCATATTCATACCTATGTGTTTGTGTGTTTTGGGTAGACTGGGAACTGTGTCGAAAGTAGTAAATCAGAGCCATCTTTCAACCTTGGAGGCCAGGGGACTTAGTAAGAGTCCAGAGGGCAAGAAAATTAATATGGATGCAGCACGGAGAGGAGTGTGCCAGTCACTACTTACCAGAGCAGACTCATCGTCACTGACAGTGACAACATCAATCTCAGAAGAGTCTTCTGAGCTATATGTGACTTCGCCATAAACTGAAAAAAAGAGAACATTAGAATGAAGGTGAGAGATTGCAGAGGAATGAAATGGGCTGCCACTGTTGAATAGGCTGTGCTTGATTTCGATGTGCCCTATGCTTCAGGAATGTGTCCACAATTTCACTCAAGCTTGGCCTTCAATATCCAGAGGGAGCATTGCCAGCCCTGTCCTCTGAGGGACAAAACAAGGGGAAGAGCACCTGAGCTCCTCACAGGTTCTGTTGGATGACAACATCTTACGAGATGTTCACCCCAACAGATCATTCCTCTCACAGAGGGGCATGTTTAGCACAGAGGAGAAAAAAACAACCAAGACTAGAGGGGATGCTAATTTTACTGTACCATGCTCTACATGCTCCCCTGAAGAATGGGCCACAGCTACCGACTACTATCTTTTGTTCATGTTTGTCTAGCTTGGGAGATCCCAAACTCAGCCTGCCACCTCCACTGTGGCAGCTGCAGTCACTGCCAGCTCGTCAGAGCACACATTCAGGTGTTTGAGCAGCACTTGGGGCCTTTGCTACACAGCTCATCTCCCACTAGAGGCCAATGGGCAGAGTTCAGTAAGAAACCAAAACAGCTGTCAGTGGGCTTGTTGTTTAGGGATGCCATAGCAGGCATCAAGCCCACCTTCCTCAAC